GTTTCATTCTGTCAAATTCATTCTATCATTCTCGTTTTGTAACTACTCTTAATCGGCTCAACTAACCAACATTGAGCCATTTTGAGGGAAGTAATTATTCGAGCCGCGTCTTGGGAAATGTAATATAAATCTTCAAGGTCTAACATTGCTGATGGGTAATCGATAATTTCGTTGTTAATAATACAGTGGAGCTCACCCCCTCATTCGCTTCAAGGAGCTCTTCGTAATCCGACTCATTACCCACTATTGACGATGGAAGAAAACTTATCTACCAAGTTTCTGAAGAATATTCGGCACGATCAGCTCCAGAACGGATGAGTTTATTTCTCTCGTCCTTTTTTTCGCTTCTAATTTCACCAATACTATTATCTGCTTGTGAAATCTATGATGAAAAGTTTTGGAGTACCCTCAGTGAGTGGCGCTACTTTTATAACGAGTTTCTGGTTTTAATGATGAATAGCTGTTTTACGATGCGAAGTGCAACAATTGGACAATTTATGAAGTTATGGATTAATCGAGGGACTAACACAGGTCAGGCAACCATGACTAACAATAACAATACGTGGGTATCGAACGATTCAAATACTTCGTCATGTGCTCGATATTACATTACCTTTGATGTATTATAATTTTTCAATACGTACTGCACGGAGAGAAATATTCAGTAAAAATTGCGGAACTCACAATTCACTTACAGAATTCAATGACAGAATCGACTCAGAAAATTTAAGTGATGTTATCGTCATTTTTCACAGGAGATTCAGATAAATATTACGGAACGCTCTGGAAAAATTGCGTGACAGTTCCGTGAAATTTCCTACAACCACATTTCGCTCCGGAATTACGGAAAAGATACGTAATTTTTGTTGAATATTTCTCTCCGTGTGTGAATTCACAAGACGGTACGGTAGGAAAGGTCTACACGGAGAGAAATTCTTTAGATTATTTTTCCCAATCGGATTTCGACCAATCAGAGCGCAGTATTTGAGGCTACCCGACAGTTTTATTTCGGATATTTCCTCCTAGCTTTTGAATATTAGTAAAACATGTCAAATAGCGTTATCGCGTTAAATCACACTCCCCTATCATTGCTGAAGATTTCTATGTGACCTGGAAGAAAAAATAATACTGCACTGAGAGAAAAATATAATTCTTCTGACTATATTCCATCACCATCGAATTATAGTCAAAAAGTCCTCAACAATTTTTCATGGGTTACGGTAACTATGGCCGGAGAAGTAATTACTACAATGGAATGTAGTCATTGCAACTATTTTATAGTTCTCCTCACGATAGATTTGTCGTGGTTACTTTTGAACTTTGGTTAGTTTAACTGCANATAATGTTATGTGCCGCATACAAAAAAAAATTCGTATCGTTCACCAAAATGCCTCAACTATTTTCTTATTGTAAATCGCGAACTTCAGATTTTTCTCTCAGTGTACATGGAGAGAAATTCTTTAGATTATTTTTCCCAACCAGATTTCGACCAATCAGAGGCTACCCGACAGTTTTATTTCGTATATTTCCTCCTAGCTTTTGAATACTATTAAAACATCAAATAGCGGTTATCGCGTTAAATCACACTCCCCTATCATTGCTGAAGATTTCTATGTGACCTGGAAGAAAAAATAATACTGCGGTTCATGCTGAGAGCGCAAGCGAAAAAAAAAACAATGAAGAAAATATTCATGTGCCATTGCATTTTTACTGAGGTGACGCACAAACGCTCACGGTGTGCGCGTTACACTCATTATACAGAGGGAAAAAAGGAAAAAATAATGAAATTAGTGGAGAAAAAAAAATTCCCTCTGCAGTTGAAATTTTCAGATTTTTTCATGACGTAGTTTTTAATGTTGTTTGCAGTTTTTGATTTTTTTTTGCTCTTTTCTCTTCAATGTACGGGGAAAGGTAGTAAATTTGCTCTCTGGTCTTAGCGTCTTAAATTCTTCGAAACGCTGCAATTCATGGGTGGAATGCTGAGCTCCAGTGAGCAGAAGCATCGTAGTCGCATGTACATACTCTGTGTATTGTCTCCGTCAGTGGTATAACGACTTGACATGGGAAAATCAGACCGAGTTTCAAAGACCTCAGCTCTCGGGCTCTCATTCTTTAACGATGTGCGCGCAAATGGAGGAGACGGCGACGGGTTTTTTTTTATGTGCGCATATGTTTGTCATTTATTTTTCGTCATTTCACGGTGATAGTGGGAGGTCAGAATTCCAATAACATATGGGATTTGTTCTCGCATGTTTTATGAAGCGGAGGATATTTTTTTTTTCTACGGGCGAGGAGAAATATGGCAGAGATTGCGGAAAAATGGACAATATCTATTGAACTGCTGGAAAATATTTATGGATCTACAATACTTGGTAGGACACTGTAATATGTTTTTGGCTGGAATTTTCACTGCGAAGTTTTATTGCATTGTAGTTCCACTGAAGTTTCAAGGAATTTCGCCATTGAAAATTCAAAATTTAGTGACAAATTCAATGGAAACTGTGAGTTTCAGATCGATTATTCCGTGAAGACTAATAAGAATTAGGAAAATTCGATAGCGAAGTGGTAAAACTATTTAAATTGACTTTAGCCATTAGCTGAGTTTTCGAGGGATATCTCCAAATCTAAGGGAGATAGCGGAATTTTCGTAATTTGATTTTTTGTAGATCTTAATTGGCTCTACAGAAAAGGTTATAGCAAAAATTTTTCTATCTGCCTTAGATCTGGAGATATTGAGTGAAAACTGACAAATTGTCAAAATCGATTTCAACCGTTTCAATTGAAGGGAATAGATTCTTAAATTCTGAATTCATTGAAAATTCAATATTTAATGGCAAAATCAATGGAAACTGTGAGTTCCAGATCGATTATTCCGTGAAGACTAATAGAAATTAGGAAAATTCGATAGCGAAGTGGTAAAACGATTCAAGTTGACTTTAGCCATTAGCTGAGTTTTCGAGGGATATCTCCAAATCTAAGGGAGATAGCGGAATTTTCGTAATTTGATTTTTTGTAGATCTTAATTTGCTCTACAGAAAAGATTATAGCAGAAATTTTTCTATCTGCCTTAGATCCGGAGATATTGAGTGAAAACTGACAAATAGTCAAGATCGACTCGAACCGTTTCAATTGAAGGGAATAGATTCTCAAATTCTGAATTCATTGAAAATTCAAAATTTAATGGCAAAATCAATGGAAACTGTGAGTTCCAGATCGATTATTCCGTGAAGACTAATAGAAATTAGGAAAATTCGATAGCGAAGTGGTAAAACGATTCAAGTTGACTTTTGCTATTAGCTGAGTTTTCGAGGGATATCTCCAAATCTAAGGGAGATAGCGGAATTTTCGTAATTTGATTTTTTGTAGATCTTAATTTGCTCTACAGAAAAGATTATAGCAGAAATTTTTCTATCTGCCTTAGATCCGGAGATATTGAGTGAAAACTGACAAATAGTCAAGATCGACTCGAACCGTTTCAATTGAAGGGAATAGATTCTCAAATTCTTAATTCATTGAAAATTCGGGGTAATTTGACACTGAATATTCATGTTTTGATTAGAAATTCCACTAAGGTACGGAATTTTCGTAATTTACTCAATTGGAGGTCTCAGTTTTTATTTTTCTCCCCTTGAATCAGTCAAGTTACAACTTCTTCTGCCATTTTCCGTCGTGTTGACGCTTGGTGTGGATAACATTAACACTTTACGGCTGTACCTGCTGGGCGCCCGTTCTACGAATACATTGATGTGGTTTATCGCCTTACCCCCTTGCGACATTCACTTGCCATTAGAAACACAACGGCGAAGGGTTACATCTTTTTGATATCCTCTCCTGGTGGATTATACCCGTAGATTATATCCTCTCTCAGCGGATTATACTGAAGGATTGGAATTTGGAATTTGATTCAATGCAACCAAGAATTTATGCACACTTAAGAAAACGTAAAAATTCCGAAATAAATCTATTTTTAACTGATTGAGCAGCGCAAGTCACGAAACGTCGATGTGAGAAGAATAGGGAAACCTCCACTTTTTGATTCTTATATTCTGACACTTAAACGGAGAGCAAAAATTATTTTTGCCAAATACCCATTTACTTGAGAGAAGTATTGGTTTTTTCAATACTGTATTTCTTCAGTCGAGTCAGTCCTAAAAATCATGAAATTTCAGATTTCACTGAAAACTCAATATAATTTAGCACTGAAAATTGATATTAAATTGGAAAATTAAATAAATTAAGAAATTCTCGTCTTTATGCTGCTTAAAGTAGCTCTACCCTTCGGCCGGATTACACTTTTGAATATTTTCAGTTTTTAAATTTTGCTAAATTGCATGGAAAAAATTTGAAAAAATTTATACCCAGTCACTATTATCTAAAATAAATTTTGCAAAATACTGATATTTTTTCAAACATTTCCCTCCTATAAATAAATAATAAAACTTGTTTGCAAAACGGTGGATTATTTTTTATGAGGTGTCAAAAAAATTCTTGATTTTTTCACATCTAATGAAAAAAAAAACAGATTTTAATCTTTGATTACAATGGAAATGTTTAGTTTAAATTAAGAAAAAAATTAGAATTCCGAATCTAATCGAGTTTTTTGCAATTTTTTTGCAGTTTTCAATAATCTTTCAATTTCCGTAAGTGTAGCACCACTTTAAAGTTCTGGAATTTGACTGAACTCTCAGTGAAACCTGAAATTTCATGGTTTTTCTTGAAGGATTCGAACATGCGTGTTCTCATCGTCAGTCTTGTTAATTCTTATCCAGTCATAAGAATTCTGTACCGGCGAAAAATTCTCAAAGAATCATTGAAACCCGAAAAAATTGCTTGATAACTCATCCTCAGTGAATTGACCTATAAAAGACTCCTGAAACAAATTCCCCCACCCGGAAACTTCTGTAATATTGCTTCTCAATTTCTCCACAAATTTCATTAAAATTTTTGCTGAATGGGGGCGAAGTCATCGAGAAGTTTTCGTTTCGTAATTATATTTTAAGGATTTCAAACTATTGAACTACTCAGCCAAGTGAAACACCTGAAGACATCCAACGATCTCAAGTGCAGGAAAGATCAAACACACGGCTATATGAAAGAAGAAGTAACGACTAAGGGTAAAACGCTGACCCATCTCAGAAGAGGCAGCACGCTGTCTGTACATCGTAGTTGCAAAAGAGGATACTAAAACGGAAGCAAAGCTGAGTGGAGGGATGAGAGGGTCCTGGCAAGTAGTGTATGAGTGGCCCTACACCCGCAGTGGCACCAGACCGCGCGCCCGCGGTACAAGGCGAAACCGTAGAACTTTCCCTGCGCCTTGGCCGTCTCTCACTCTCAGCAAAACTTGCACAATTTCGAAGTAATGAGGCAACCCCGGCCGTCTTCAATTAATAACACGCTGAGGCTCCTCTGCGTCGCGTGACTTACTGCCTTCTCGCCCAGTTTACCCGCATGCAGCATCTGCTACCATTCAAGATTGGTGTGGGTACACACTTGAGCTGAAAAAAAGGGGGAAAAAACACGACTCGCTCAAGAGATATCAGACAGGAGGAGGAAAAAATCGTGAGAAGTTTGTGATGAACTATTGATGGTGCCTTTATGTACTGAGAGAGTTGCCAACACTTCCGAAAATCTCTAAATTAATTTCTCCCTCATAAATTTCAATATATAAAATTTTATAAAAAACTTACTAGTCGCAAATTATCCTGAGTGATCTTAATTGTTAGCTCAGAGCATCGCTGAGTCGATACAGTGAGTGAAGCCTTCAGAATAGCCTTCAGCACACAGTGATTTCAATCAAGATAGCTGAGTTCAATCGTTGTTCACAGCTCACGTTTAAGAATGAAGATAAAGCCCCGAAAAGATAGGGAAGAGGATGGGTTTCATTACTTGATAAAATTCCAAAAACGCTCCTGATGTGGAAGGGCAATTTTCCAGGTACACAACCCTCCATTACTGAAAATATTCCCCTGAGACTTGCAGAGTTTACGGTGTTAGGCCAGAGGGGAGATGAAAAAAAGAGAAACATCTTCGGCAAATTTACTGCGGGACTTATTCGACTGATCGAAACTGCTGGAAATAGTCACATAAAACAGACAGACATGAGCGTTTCCTTTTCGACTCTCGAGGATCTTTTTCATTTAAAAAATTTTTTTTCCTTTTATAACCAAGAGGTGCACGAGGGTGACGTGAGATTTTCACGAGACTGCTCGAAGAGAGACACGTGAAAATTATCGCCAGTTGTATGGAGGTAAACCGAGGGCGACGCTTTTCATGGAGACGGTGGAGACGACCTCGAGAATACCAATGACTCAGAGACGTCGACCTTTTTCATTTTCGCAAGCTTCCGCATTATGAAAATTGAATTTCCAAATTTCCATTATTTATTGTTGAGTCTGGAGAATAGCCAAAGTTTTCTTGACGGAAATTGGAAGTGCTACGGTATAGAATGAAAACTGGGAGAATACGGTATCAGTTTTTATGAGATTTTTCAAAGACTCAACTTAACGTCAACATTTGAGTAATTTTATTTCTCAAGTGATTTTCAAACTCATATAAATATTATACTGTAAATTAAGGATGTTTAGCCAAAACCCACATTGTTCACCATATTTTGATATTGTCTCATAAGGCAGGTTCGTGGAGCCACACATCAGTAAAAATATTGATCCTTCCATCGGGGCATCCTAGGGAGAAATTAATTTCTGAAAATCACTTCTTGTAACATTACGCTTAGAAGAAACGTGAGCGTGTGAAGTTTGATTGAGATGTTGCATGTGTTAGACACTCAAGATATTGAAAAAAAACCACAAGCTATTTACTGTAGACTATGCACTGAGAGAAAAATATAATTCTTCTGACTATATTCCATCGCCATCGAATTATAGTCAAAAAGTCTTCAACAATTTTTCATGGGTTACGGTAACTATGGCCGGAGAAGTAATTACTACAATGGAATGCAGTCATTGCAACTATTTTATAGTTCTCCTCACGATAGATTTGTCGTGGTTACTTTTGAACTTTGGTTTGTTTAACTGCATTTTGATTTGCAAAAATTACGCTTGTGAAGTTACTATAACGTTATGTGCCTCAACTATTTTCTTATTGTAAATCGAACTTCAGATTTTTCTCTCAGTGTGGAAAATCTATCGCCGGCGAGAACAACTAATAATTAAAACAATTGGTGCATTTCACGTTGAGGCTTGAGATGTAAAATTGGCATTACTCCTCAGGTGAGCGGCACAGGCACACCCTCCCCTACTAGATGTTACAATCACTGTGTGTGTAGGTGTGTACGTGAAAGAGAAGAAAGTATATAGAGGAATGGGGTTGAAATTCAGAAAGTATATGCGTAGAGATAGAGAAGAGAGAATGGCCCCTGGTTCGCCTACGCAGTGGAAAATTAAATATGAGCGCGATTTTAGTCGAGCAATTTATATGTTAATTCTCGTGGGTATGGTAAATCTTCCATTCTCAGGTTAAAATGCCATATATCTATTTCTCTCTTCTTCATTCGTATCCCCTCCGGCTGTGCTTCTGCCCGAATATTTAACGATCCTCCTATTGTTTCCATTTCGATGTTCCTGGGAGTCACCTCACCATAAGTAGAATTTCCCGAATACATTTGCCGGGATGAGTATATATGTGCAGACCGTCTTTTCAAAGGGGAAATTCCACTTCTGGTGAATTACAAATGGGGGTAAAATGTTGAGCTCGGAGGGTGATTGCGTTTTCTCTATTCATTGTGAATTCGGGGTATTAAGTTCTTTTAATATGAGGCGTTCATTATTTTTAGAGGGGGAAATGCCGGCGTTAAGGATTCATTGGGGCCTTTTCGCAAAAATTCACGTTTTTTCCATTTTTCTGACAAATTGTTGATCGGATTGACGTGAAAAAATGTACCATTTCTGCGTTTTATCAGTACTTAATGACTCACGAAATTTCATGATCGTGCAATCATTTTCCTGCGTTTTTTCTAACAAGATCTATGCGCGCGTTAATCTATTCATTTGTTGAAATGAAGAAATGGAATTCATTAAATTTAATTTTCTCATGAATACCTTATAAATATTGATAATGAATCAAAGAGAATTCGACTAATGATTGAAGTGAATAGCGAAGTAGAGTAAAAGAATCAATAAAGAATTTTTCATTTTCAATTAATTATCTTCAATTTTTTTAAATAATCGGTGTCCATAAAAGGACAGAATTTATTAATTTCACCGATGATATATATACATGTGAAATATATATATTATTATATTATATTAAAAAAAAATTTACCACTGAAGAATTTGAAATTATGTCACTGAAGAATTTGAAAATGCCGCGTGGTTTTTTGTGAATAACTGCGTGTCACATGTTAACCAATCAGAATTAAGGATTAGCGGTCAGGCAGTTTCGAGATATTTCGATATAAAACAACTGCACGTTTCTTTCATCTTTAGTAAATAGGAGGAAACTTTTCGGAAATTCATAAAACTTTAGAAAAAATGTAGGAAAATGATTGCACTATCATGAGAAATCTCACTCCAATAGCCCGCGACTTTGAAAACTCACAGTAGTCCCCTTAAAAGCGGATCAAAATAATTCTTTCTGACAGTGCACTTCTACGATATTTTAACATTTAATTCTGACTTTTCTGCTGACACCAGACTCTACTGATATAAGAGCATACTACGTCAATCCGCCACTGGTGTCTTCATCTGTTTGGTTTATTTTTCCCCTTCCTTTGCTTTATTTTCCTCTGCTTTTCCTCCCCAGTTAACTATTTCAGTGTTCCACGAAGGCCACCCAAAAAGAGCTTGCGAGTAAAGCAGCTCACAGTAAATCCCTCCGTAATTAAATTGTCCTTTGTATTCAGAGGTCTTGAAAAGGAATTAAATTTTCATTTTTTTCACTCGCCAACATAATATAAATGATCAATCCCGTCATTTCCATATTTTTCGTTGTTTCTGTGTGCCTACCATTGCGCTGTTACATGCAGGAAACGTTAAAAATAATTTGGTCTGTTTGCAAACGAAAATCGTCAATATTGGTTTTATTTTTCATATGAAAATTGTTTTTAGAGCCCGAACGTGATATTTCATACTTCAATATGTTTCAATTCGTGAGGTTCAATGTTTACTTCTGTTCCGCGGAAGCCTGTTCCGACAAATATGCACTCCGCGTCGATCTCTCGCCAAACCGCCTCGAAAAAGGGGACATGAATAATAGAGAATTATAGACATGAGCACATTGTGTAACATCCCGTATCGTCGAGAACATGCACTGATAGAAAGGATTAGTTATTGTTAACGAATGGATTTGATATTCATTCGTTGATAATTAACAAATGCACATTTGTTAGCTATGAACCATTCGTTAACTATTAACGAATATTCATTTGGAAATTCAATAAAAATTACCAGAAAAAAACGTAAAAATTACGTCGCAACGTAATCCGCGAGCGAAGTAAAATTCAATAAAAAGCGGAAGTCGGAACTGAAATTGTATGAATCGCCACATGAATTCTACGATTTGTTCCGTAAAAATTAACCACTCGTCTGATGACTCACCGCTGTGGGGACAACAATTTGTTCCGTAATTTTTCCCCAATAAAATTGTTGAACGTTCAAGAATTTTTGATTTTGGAGGCATATCAAGTCGGCAAGTTTCTGTAAGATTTTACTTCTTCGGGAAAAATTGCGTGACAATTTCGTACTTTGTTCGGTGATGAACCTGAGAATTCACTGAACGTTTCAGATTTCTTCTCTTCCATTCCTATAAAAATTGCCGGAAAACGATTCCCCATTGCGGATTACGTGAATTGTTCCGCAAATTTTTACTGAATATTTCTCTCCGTGTATCCTCTAGCTATTATAGCTAGAATTCTTTCCCATGAATGTAATTAGCTGATGAAATAATTTTCCCTACATTATATGAAAATGAAACTGCACATTTCTTCGGATCCCCCGCGGATTATTTTGTCGAGTCAACCGCAGCAATACAGCAGTAATACCCTGTGGTACGATATACCTAGAATTTAATTAAGAAACCGTCAGGAATTGTGAAATGTTCAATTTTAATTTCTGTCAAACACTGGAACTGTCCTTCCACGTAAATTCTCGGAAAAGCACAGGTCCAGAATGACGTGTGGTTGAGTGCCTCTTGACGTTACCCACCACAGAAAGTGCAACAAAGAGGAAC